TACCATTTCAAGCCTTTTCACCATTATTTTGAGCCCGCGATGAAAAGTGGGATCATGGAGGGAGCGTCATTCAATGCGCAGCATTAATCCACCGCTGGACCTTAAAAACATGTTCACAAACACTGTAATTAGCCAAGATGTGAGAGAGTTCCACTTTATTCCCCCCTGCTGCACTGTGTCCGGGGAACAGGACAGAGCGGGGACTTCGACGAGGGTTGGAAACTGATAGGCCCACTTTACTGAACATGTAGACCACCTTGTTTCAGTACACATGACAGGCTCATCATCACTTTTGTCTCTGTGTACATGCATTTCGCAATTTTGATTGAAGCTGCCCAGTTTAAATTGGTTTCAGTTTTCACTGGAGAAACATGAACCCATCCACAATATGAAACAGGTTAAAGACTAGGGCACGATAGGTCAACTGCTCCATGTGGCCTGTTTATTTCACTGAAGAGGCCACTAAAACTCAGCTGCTGTCTCATCGAAGTTTGACAGTTCGGCGTTTAGGACTTGCTCCTTGAGACCTGTGACCCTTGCAATGGTCCTAGTGCCAAAACTAAACCACAGGCTCATGTATTCGTGCTGTCCTACCTACAGTAGGTCTACTTCCATTTGTGGCACTTTATAACGCTTGCTCTGTATGCTATCCTCATGCACGTGACCCATGGTATATCCTTATGAAAAACAGCTAGATAATGCCAGTGCTGCTGTGTGTTAGATACGTCTTTTACTCCCCCCAGGTTGAATAAGCCCTTATAAGAGATTTGTTAGACATTATTTCTAAAGTAGGTCATTGATAGACGTTATTGCGATTAAAGATTCTGTTGATCAGAGGTCTTTCTATCCATGTCACCTTAATTTTCTGCGCCTTCCAAAAATATTCTCACTTTTCCACATTTTTCCATGTTATGACACAAACATTTGGATATTTTTGTTATTCAATCTGAAGACAAAAATCCAAAAGCAATGTGGAAGAGAATTGTGAGTATACAGGAATGTGTACTTCAGTGCCTTCCAAAATAGTGTGTGTCTTTCCCAATCAGAGCCCTTACATCTTTCGGTTGTGTGTTTACTATGCGCTGGCCAAGAACTTGAATAGCATAAATGGACAGTATGTTGTGCATTGTCAACCGTTGCCATAACCCTGCAGGGGGTGAAGAAAGGCTGCTCAAATGTGTAACTGCTAAAAAACTCAGTCAGACTTTTGAACACCTATAGTAATTCGAGTTTGTTCACACGCCGCCCATAGCTCACTTCTTTTGGAAACGTTTTAATTGTAACCTTCTGAAACACAAAAGAAAAAAGGCCCAATGCTTAGAGTAGTAATTTATTTGACTGATCTACGATGCTTGAAGGGACAAACTAACTATCACAGCAACTCAGCCATTGTCTTCTGTTTTCATCTCTTACTTCTTCTGTTCACGGATTTTACTGAAATCCTTCTGTTACTCGTACTGGGAGGTGCACTTACACACTTGAACATTCTATCCCATCTAATGTGCCGTTACATGTATCTACTAAAGACATTCGGTGTTGTGGCGGGACAGGGCGTCAGCCCTTGGCCACTCTCACTCTGTACCTGGTCCAGTTTTACTGCCTGGGTTAACTTAACTGACTGCCATTTGACATATTGGTTGAAGAATGGTCATTTCTTTCAAACTTCCCTCTATTGCTGAGATTACAGGACCAACAAATTAGCAAAGAAACAAATTATTTCTTTGCTGATGAAGTTAGACAATCCAGTCTTTCAGAATAGGGTTTCAATATTTCCCTGTCATAGCAGATAATTCATTGGTGGCATCTCTTGAGAAATCAGTGAATTTCAGCAAAACCGGCACAGCAGTCTTGGGATAACTTGAAAAGCTTTGTCAAGTCATCGGTCGCAATAGAAAGTCATGTTTAACACTTTGGCATTACCTTGTATCTTAAGTCCTTGTGTGGTTGTATTCACCAAGAAGAGAAAATGGGGAAGTTAGAACCAGATTATTAGAGCTTCTGCGCATATCAAACCCCCCTTCACTTGTTTTAACTTGTATGTCTTCGAATACGCTTCACAAACCTTATTGCTAAATTGGTCAGAATTCTTGTTTTTTTCCTTTTTTCAATCATAATCACAAACCTAGGCAATGACAAGTTAGGAATTTGATCTAATATAATAATATAAAATCACATTAATATTGCAACAGAAAAAGAAAGTTAGGTTTATAATATAGACACATTTTAACAGACTGTTCACTCTAAGCGCTTTCACAATATTCAGAGATTTTTTTTTCCGTTCTCACACACGGTGTTGACGGAAGCAAGACGCCGGAATATTGGGCGAATCCAAGGCCGCCAGCCAACGCCTTAACTTTCTCCCGCTCATGACATACTCAGACCTATTGTGCATGTTTTTATTGGTAGGGAGGAACCGGAGCACCAAGAGTAAACTACGCAGCCTGGATAACGTCTAAACTTGCCCCTAGTTTGCTTCCTTTTCATGCTATTGTTTGCATGTCTTTTGATCCATTTAGCAGTGGAGCAGAGAGCTGAAAATATGAGAGCAGCTTATGTATTAATGAATTCTGGAGAAAGTGCTGGATGGATGTGACGTGCACGCTATAAGACTTGACACACCAACCACATTACACACAAACACATTCATTACCACTAAACCTCAAAGGATTGAACAAAAAACAGCTCAGCGAAACTAAGTAGGTGGATATACATGATGTGTTATGTAATGTTTATTTAGCAGTGAGGCAGTTTCAAAAGGCAGAGGTGTTCTCATAATATACAAGACAACAAGGGGCACAAGTATGAGAGAAGAGAGTGGCTCCCAAAAAACATGCAAGAATTCAAGATGAGCAAGATCGTGATTCCTTAAGTGGCAGGTTTGCTATAGATAAAAACATTCGGTAATTATCTTTATTTTACAAAACAATCCTACCTTGTTTCTCTTATAAGTTCCTAGAAAACAATTCACTGAATACATTTGTGGCACTGCAAAGATCTTGATTTTCAGGCAGGAAAATGGAAGAAGTGTGGATCGTTCTCACTCAGCCAATCACAGCTACTCACCGCAAAGGCATTCAATAGAGACTCACACGGTTTCATGTTTCTCCTTTAGTAGTTCCCTTTTAGAATTTCTTTTCTGTTGGAATAAACTACAATGTGTTATTAATTATGAATTAATGTAGCTTCCCCTTGGCAATATTTCTTATTTTATGAAGTTGTTACATTTATATTTCATGGCAGAAGATGAGGCATGTTTTATTTGTTATAGCACAATTAATACAGAAGGCAACCTCAAAGTGCTGAACAAGAAGACATTAAAATCATAAATAATCACAAGAACATTAAATTGAAAGATGCAAATATAAAATCCCTCAGTTGTATACACAGCTAAACAGAACTGTCTTTTAAACCTGGTTTTAAACATTGTCAGAGAGGAGGCATGTCTCACATCTTCAGAAGACTGTTCCAGATTTTAGCTCAGCATGAATCTGAAAAGCAGCCTCCCCATGTTTAGTTCTGACTCTGGGCACTAACAGGAGATCCAGTCCCTGTGCTCCTCAGAGTCCCAGCAGGAGTCCAGTCCCTGTGCTCCTCAGAGTCCCAGCAGGAGTCCAGTCGCCTGTGCTCCTCAGAGTCCCAGCAGGAGGCCAGTCCCTGTGCTCCTCAGAGTCCCAGCAGGAGTCCAGTCCCTGTGCTCCTCAGAGTCCCAGCAGTGAGTCCAGTCCCTGTGCTCCTCAGAGTCCAGCAGGTAGGCCAGTCCCTGTGCTCCTCTGAGTCCCAGCCAGGAGTCCAGTCCCTGTGCTCCTCAGAGTCCCAGCAGGAGTCCAGTCCCTGTGCTCCTCAGAGTCCCAGCAGGAGTCCAGTCCCTGTGCTCCTCAAGAGTCCCAGCAGGAGTCCAGTCCCTGTGCTCCTCAGAGTCCCAGCAGGAGTTCCAGTCCCTGTGCTCCTCAGAGTCCCAGCAGGAGTCCAGTCCCTGTGCTCCTCAGAGTCCCAGCAGGAGTCCAGTCCCTGTGCTCCTCAGAGTCCCAGCAGGAGTCCAGTCCCTGTGCTCCTCAGAGTCCCAGCAGGAGTCCAGTCCCTGTGCTCCTCAGAGTCCCAGCAGGAGTCCAGTCCCTGTGCTCCTCAGAGTCCCAGCAGGCAGGTCCGAGGCCTGGATCTAGTGGGGTGGTCGTACTCCAGGTCTAGCCAGGTCTAATGTGGTGTCCTTCCTGGTTCTAGCTCAGGACCAATGCGGTCGTACTTCCGGGTTCCTTCTCAGCCTACAGGGCGACACCTGAGTACTGTCGACTAATGGGGTCTACTTCATCGGTTTCAGTCAGGACTAATGTGGTCTGCTTCCTGGTTCCTAGTCAGGACTAATGTGGTCGTACTTCCTGGTTCTAGTCAGGACTAATGTGGTCGTACTTCTGGTTCTAGTCAGGACTAATGATGGTCGTACTTCCGGTTCTAGTCACGGACTAATGTGGTGTGTACTTCCTGGTTCTAGTCAGGGCCTTAATGTGGTAGTATTTCCTGGTTACTTGTCAGGACTTTATGTGGTCGTACTTCAATGGGTTAGTCAGCGACTAATGTGGTCTTACTTCCTGTGTTCTAGTCAGGACCGAACTGTGGTCGTACTTCCTGAGGGTTAGGGTCACAGGAACATCAATGGACTGCCTTTACACCACAAAAATACATCATTTTAAAGAGTCTGAGGAGGCTAACATAATACGCTGCGTTCTCTTCTAGATGTAGTGGAGACCGTTCTAGGTTCTGGCGGTCATCCAATAATAATAATAATACATGTTATTTAAAAAGGAGCAACAGAATAAAACAGTATGTGCATTATGGGATGGTGGGTGTGTGTGTGTTAGGTGGGGTAGGGACAGTTGGACAGAGGGTTTTGCCGTCTGGCATTTGGAGGTTTGGGAGAGAGTCAAGGTACGGAGGCCAGGGGGGAGAGAGATGAGTTATAGAGCTGGGGGGCAGAGTGGGCTGTTGGCATCTGTGTCCAACGGGTGATGAGTCTGGCTGGGGGGCGGAGAGTGGAGGGTGGAGGTGTGTGGCGAGTGTCCTGGGTGGAGGAGGTCCAGATTGGTGGAGGAGGGGCAGGTTGTGAAGTGCTTTGAAAGTGGTGTGGAGTATTTTTGAAGTTGCGTGAAGGTAAAGCGCAGTGGTGTTGTTGTAGTAAGGGGGTGTTGTGGTAAGCGTGGGGGTCAGGGCATTGTGGGGGTGATGTGGTCAAGCTGTGGGGGCTCCGGGCAATGTGGGGGTTGATGTTGCCTTCAGCTGTCGGGGGTCAGGGTGTTGTGGGGGTGATGTGGTCATGATGTGGGGGCGTCCGGGCAATGTGGGGGTGGATGTGGTCCTGATGTGGGGGTCCGGGCGGAGGTGGGGGTGAATGGTGCAGCTGTTCTGGGGGTCCGGGCGATGTGGGGAGTGATTGGTGGTCACGCTGTGGGGGTCCGGTGTGATGTGGGGCGTGATGTGGTCAGCGTGGGGAGTAGGGGCCTTGTGGGGGTGATGTGGTCAGCTGTGGGGGTCCGGATGGGGGGTGACATGGGAGGTGGGGGGTGATGTGTCAGCTGGTGGGGGTTCCGGCGTGGAGGGTGGGGTGAATGTGGTCAGTGTGGGGGAGGTCCGGGCAGGTAGGGGGGGGGGGGCACTGTAGGGGTCGAACTGGGGATGGGGGCAGCGGGGGGGGCAGGGCACGGTGGGGGGGGGGGGGGGGGGGGGGCTGCGGGGGGAGGTGGGGGTGGTGTGGCCTAAGCGTGTGGGGGGGGGGGGGGTCCTGGGTGTGGGTCAGCAGTGGGGGGCAGGGGGGGGCGGCGGTGCAGGGTGGGGTGAGTGGTCAGCCTGTAGGGGTCGCGGGCGAGGTGGGGCTGCTGGGGGGCCGGTAGGGGGGTGGTGATTGAGTGCGCGCTGTGGGGTGCCGGTGATGTGGTCAGCTGTGGGGGTCCGGTGATGTGGGGGTGTTGTGGTCAGCTGGGAGGGGGGGTCTCCGGGCACATGTGGGGGTGAGGTGGTCTGGTGTGGGAGGGGGTCCGGGCGATGTGGGGGTGATGTGGTCAGGCTGTGGGGGGCCGGTGCAATGTGGGGATGGGGTCACTGCGGGGGTCCGGGTGAGGTGGTCATGGGGGGCCGGGTGAATCGTGGGGGTAGTCTGTGGTCTAGCTGTGGGGGGTCCGGGCTGATGTGGGGGTGATGTGGTCAGCTGTGGGGGTCCGGAGTGTGTGGGGGTCGATGTGGTCAGCTGTGGTGGGTCCCGGGGGATGTGGGGGTGGATGTGGTCAGCTGTGTGAGGTCCGGGCAATGTGGGGGTGATGGTTGTTGTGTGAGTCAGCTTGTGGGGGTCCGAGGTGCAATGTGGGGGGTGATCGTGGTCAGGTGTGGTGGGGGCCGGGTCCCTGGGGGGGATGATGGTGGTCAGCTGTGGGGGGTCCGGGGCAATGTGGGGGTGATTTGTCAGCTGTTTTTAGGTTTCCTTTCAATTATTTTTTTATTTTTTCATCTTATGTTTACCTTTCAAATATTTTTATTTCATCTTTATTTGACCTTTATATTATTTTATCATATTACATCTTATTTTACCCTTTCAATTATTTTTATAATATTACCTCATATTTTTACCTTTCAAATATTTTTATATTATTTACATCATATTTTTCCTCTCAAATTTTTTATCAATATTACCTCATTTTTTACCTTTTCCAATATTTTTTATTATTACATCATATTTTTTACCCTTTCAAATATTTTTATATTATTACATCTTATTTTTACTTTTAACTTATTTTTTAATATTACATATTTTTTTATTTTAATATTTTTATAATTATTACATCATATTTTACTTTCCCTTATTTTTATCATATACATATTTCTTTCCTTTCCAAAATATTTTTATAATATTACCTCATATTTTTACTTTATCATTTTTTTTCATATTACATCATATTTTACTTTCATATATTTTTATCATATTACCTCATATTTATTACTTTCCAATTTTTATCATATTACCCTCATATTTTACCCCTTTCCCTTATTTTTATAATAATTACTCATATTTTACTTTCCCATATTTTTATCATATTACCTCATATTTTACCCTTTCCCAAATTTTTATCATATACATCATATTTTTACCTTTATCATATTTTTATATTATTTTCCTCATATTATAACTTTCCCCCCCATCATTTTAACAAAAACTATATTATTACCTTCCAATATTTTAATCATATCCCCACCATAATAAAATTTAACAAAAATAATCCAAAAACCTATCAATAACACCAATCCCAAAATATAACAACAACCCACAAAATTTAAAAAAACACCCCCCACCCCAACAACCACACAACCAACACCAACACCACACACCCACCCAAAAAACACAAACACCAACCACACAAAAAAACCCCCCCCCCCCCCCCCCCCAAAAAAAAAAAAAAAAAATCCCCCCCCCCCCCCCCCCCCCCCCCCCCCCCCCCCCCCCCCCCCCCCCCCCCCCCCCCCCCCAACCCCCCCCCCCCCCCCCCCCCCCCCCCCCCCCAAACCCCCCTTATATTTTAAATATATATCCTCCCCCCCTTTTTTTTTTTTTTTTTATTTTTGGGGGTTGACTAGTGTGGTCAGCTGTTGGGGTCCGGGCAAGGTGGGGGTTGATGGGTCTGCTGTGGGGGTCCGGGCAAAGTGGGGGTGATGTGTCAGCTTGTGGGGGTTCGGGTGATGTGGGTGTGATTTGGTCAGCTGTGGGTGTTCCGGGTGATGATTTGGGTGATGTGGTCAGCTTGTGGGTCGGGGCAATGTGGGGGGATGTGGTCAGCTGTGGGGGTCCGGGGCAATGTGGGGGTGATGTGGTCGCTGTGGGGGTTCCGGCAATGTGGGGGGTGATGGTGGTCAGCTTGGGTGTCGGCAATGTGGGGGTGAGGTGGTCAGCTGTGGGGGTGGCCGGCACATGTGGGGGTGATGTGGGTCAGTGTGGGGGTCGGCGTGGATGTGGGGGTGATGTGTCAGCTGTGGGGGTCGGGCAATGGTGGGGGTGATGTGGTCAGCTGTGGGGGTCATGGGCAATGTGGGGGTGATGTGCTCAGCGTAGGGGGTCCGGGTGATGTGGGGGTGCTGTGGTAAGCTGTGGGGGTCAGGGCATTGTGGGGGAGATGTGGTCTGGCTCCGTGGGGGTCCGGGCTAGTTGGGGGTGATGTGGTCAGCGTGGGGGTGCACGGGTCGTTTGGGGGGGGGCGGTGGGTTTTGTGGTCAGCTGTGGGGGTCCGGGCAATGGGGGGTGATGTGGTCAGCTGTGGGGGTCCGGCAATGTGGGGGTGTGTGTCTGCTGGGGGGGTCGGGCAATGTCGGGGGTGGATGTGGTCAGCTGTGGGGGTCGGGCAATGTGGGGGTGATGTGGTCAGCTGTGGGGGTCCGGGGCAATGTGGGAGGTGATGTTGTCAGCTGTGGGGGTCCGGGTGTTGGTGGGGGGTGATGTGGTCAGTGTGGGGGTTCGGGCAATGTGGGGGTGATGTGGTCAGTGTGGGGGTCAGGGACAAATGTGGGGGTGTGTGCTAGCTGTGGGGTCCGAGGCTATGTGGGGGTGATGTGTCAGCTGTGGGGGGTCGGGCATATGTGGGGGTGTTGTGGCAGCTGTGGGGGTCGGGCAATGTGGGGTGGATGTGGTCATGATGTCGGGGGTCCCGGGCAATGTGGGGGGTTGATGTGGTCAGCTGTGGGGGTCCGGGAATTGTGGGGGTTGATGTGTCAGCTGTGGGGGTCAGGGCAATGTGGGGGTGTTGTGTCTCATGATGTGGGTGGTCAGGTGATGCAGGGGGTGTTGTGGTCTGATGTGGGGGTCCGGGCATAGTGGGGTGTGGTCAGCTGTAGGGGT